AGCTTAACTCTATATGTAGTATGATATTCATAGTGTACATAATAATTAATAAAAATTATGTGTCAAACACTGCTAAATAAATTTCAGCATTACTAGATTAATCTTGACAATGACTCTATGAGATTGATGTTATTATCTTCATATTATAGACAGAAACTCCACAGATTCAATAGGCCAAGAAACTTGTCCCCATTGTAGGATGTGGTCATCAATATGGAAACACAGATTTTCCTTGCTATTAGTCTGTGCTCTATCTACTAACATGAACATACATACATAGAAACAAGAATGAAGGAATAAAACATACTTATGTGGTAAAAGTGATTATATGGTTGTATTAGTCCATAATTATATGGATTATTATGGTATATATATATATATGGTATATATATGATAGTATTATATGATAGTTATTACACTGTTACTTATTCCTTTTCTTTATTTTCACACTTTCTAGGATGACATATCTGTTTTAGACTACAAACAAACCCAAACACAGTAGTACAACAACCATTTTATTATTTTCATAGTGTCTCAGCTCAAAAATCCACACAGGATGCAGAGGTATGGCTTGATTCTCCTCCATAATGTTTAGAACCTCAGTTGAGAAGATGTGAATAACTGAGTATTATTCCATTGGTGAGGGGATTAGAGTCCTCTGGAGGTTTCATATCAGTTGCCTAGGCTGGAGTGATTTTAAGGCTGGACTTAGCCAGGTTAGCTGATTGGAAAGTCCTTGTATAATAGGAACTATCTCCATGGAGTCTGGGCTTCCTTACATCAGGGCTTTCTCAGATCAGTCAGACTTCTTTTTTTATAATTTATTGATTTTATTATTTTTTAAATACATGACAGCAGTGGAATGCATTACAATTCTTATACACATATAGAGCACAATTTTTCATCTCTCTGTATATAAAGTATGTTCACGTCAATTTATGCCTTTATACATGTACTTTGTTTTTTTTGCATTACAATTCTTAACACACATATATACCACAATTTTTTCATATCTCTGTTTATATATAAAGTATGTGGACACCCAATTCAAGTCTTCATACATGTACTTTGTATAATGATGTCCATCACATTCCACCATCCTTGAATGTGGTGGCTCAGGACTCCAAGAGCACAATGCTCAGCAAATGAAAAGGAAACCATGTGGCCTTCTATAACCTAACCTTGGAAAAAAACTGCTTACTCTGCTGTACTGTATTGGTGTCAATCCAGCCTTATTCAATGTGAAGGGACATAAAACTCACATTTTAATGGGAAGAGTATAAATGGTATTTGCCATATTTTGAAACTAACAGAAAATATATTGTATCCACATCAGAAGAAAACAAATTTTAGGCATAAATAAATCTATTTCATTTTTTTTGTTCTGAAAAAGAATTTATAAAATTCTTGGTTTTTTAACTTTGTTTTTTACTTATACAATATGGCAGTAGAGGATCTGAGCTCTCTGATACAGTGTCTACTTACTATGGCTTTATTCACAGTAACAATCACAGAGCCAACAACAGGCAGGATATTAGTCACTCATTTAGAGTGCAAAGTGGAAGTTGCCACCACTACAAAATATTACATAAATTTGGGGGTCTATTCTATCCTAAATCCTATTTCTTCAAGGGTACAGTGAGACTACTTTTTCATATACTCCTTACTTTTCCATAAACGAATTTTCTTTTGTTTCAAAATAATAACTATTGTATACATAAATATGTTAGAGAAGGTTAATATATTCCACACTTTAAAATGCTTTCATGTGTCTTATTGAAGAAAAATTAGTTTAGCTAGAGCGTGCATAAAGGAAAACCTGCCAGTTCCCCAGCAAACTATTGCTGGTTCAAGTTTTAAGAGCCTATCCTTTTACAAAAACTGACACTAGACACTTGTTGTATACCATAACATGCAGGAACTAAATGAGATCAGCCTCATAATATTAGAAACTTGCCTAATATTTATATTCTATATGAAAGCTTTTCCTAGTAGATATGTAGTATATTGTTGACTTTAAATTTTTCCATTAGGTCAAGGTATACCTATAGAGTAGAAGAGAAATGTTGCAGGGCTTGTCCTTTATCTGTAGTAAAGTACTTCATCTCAAGTTTTTCCTTGAGACTAGAATCAAGATCTGCTGAAATACTGTGGAAAGTCAGAAGTGAAGCATGGACTTTAGAGTTCAGAAGTTTTAGGTTTGTATCTATCTCCAACACTTACAAACTATTTAAGTTTCAACAGTACTTTAAATTTTTTGAGCCTGAATGTCATCAGCTATAGAATAGGAATAATAATAATATTTCTTTTGTATAGGCAAGATATGAAGCTTATATAAGAGGAGGTAGATAAACCATATTACTTGGGATTTGGCCCATGTACATAATTTATAAGTAGTAATGATTATTTTGTTACTATTCTCTTTAATATGATGTGGTAAGATAAAAATTCTTTATCGATAGTGTTTAGTGATATAGAACCTTATGTCAGACAGAAGTTGAGCTTGAGAAATCCAAACAAAGTATGAAAGGATGATTATTACTTTTAATTAAAACCATTTACCTATTCTGAAAAAATTATAATATACTTTTACTTTAATTCCACAAACGTTGACTAAGTAAGAAGAAAACAAAGGTACTTGAGAAAAGGATGAATTTGCATTTACTAGAATTTGTCTGATAGATAAATATTTCATATGTTGCATGATTTACATATAACTTATTTTAATTTAGCCTATACAGTCCTTGTCATAAATAAGTACTCATTAATAAATACATTAAATAAAAGAATATTCATCTTTTTACTGATTTTTGTGTTCTTTATGTATTAAATATATAAACATTTTTTTTTTCTTTTTGGGAAAAGGTCTCACTGTGTTGCATAGGCACTGAAATTCATGATCCTCCTGCCTCAGTCTCCCAAGAAGCTGAAATAAAGGCACATTCCAATGTTCGCAGATCACTTGTCACTTTTATATGCTATCACTATTTCTACAGTCTGTCACTGTTTCTACATTCTGTCACTTAATGTTTCTCAAAAATGTTATATATTCCCTGTATTTTTAAAAACGACTTTATACTTAAAAAAAAAACACATTTTTTACCTTAAATTCCTGCCCATATAGATGAAAAAATGAAAGGCTACATCTTTCCCATTTATCTTGGTGATCATGTCTTTAGCCAGTACCATTCAAAATTAAAAATTATTAGTGAAGTTGAAGTTGACTCCTGTGGATTTTTTTCTCAAGAGTAGGAATTTTCCATCTCTATTCACCATTAAACTAGTAGACATTACTTTATTGCAGTACTGATACAGAGCTTTTCTTGGTTTAGTCCTTCAAGTACTTCAATGGTTAATTAATGAAGTAGAAGGAATACAGTTATGGAAAGGAGGTAAAGGAAAACAGAAGCAGAAGCTAGGTGATGGACTAAAATCATCACCTCAATTGCAAATTTGAGGGTTATGATAAGCCCCAGCCTTCTATGTCCAATAGTAATGAGTTCTACTGAGTATTGTGCCAGGTACCTTTTAAGTGCTTTATATGTATTATTAAAACAGTTGTATACAGTTATCTTGCCAAGGAAATTAATGAAGAGGGGCTGTAGAATTTGCCCCAGTTCACACAGTCTTTAGAAGAGCTGGGAGTCTAACCAGGCAGGCTAAATTTATGATCAATAAGCATATCCTACACTATATGAATCTCAGATTTAACATGTGAAAACATTTTAGTTCTTCCTGATTCTTCATCTCTGTTTCATTTCATTAACCTGCTATTTACTGTACTTGGAGAAAATCCAACCCCAACCTCCATCATGGCTTTATAAGGCCTTACAAACTCAGACATCTTTGAATTTATCTTCAATATTACTTTTCTCTTGTTGTTTTTAACCATCTACTAAACACTTGTCTTGTTTCTAGTCTTCAATCACACCAAATCTTTTTCCATCATAGGACTTTTGCACTAACTGTTAATGCTTATACTAATGCTTACCTTAGTGGTACAGTGCATATGTGGGGCTTTGGATTCCATCCATAGAAAATTATTATAGGCTACTTTTAGGCTGAGCAACAGTAGGTTGAAGATGAAATATTTATTTAACTTTTTGGTAGAGCAGATAGGTGGAGGAAAAGAGTTGGAAACAATATTAAATTATTTTTTCTATTTGAAGCTCTTTACTGAAGTATTTAAAATATTGGGTTTTTTTAATTAGAGAATTTTCTAGTTACAGTGTGAAATAATATGTGTGCAATTTACAAATGCAATGGCATATTCCATGAAGATTTTATTTTATTGCCACTTGGTGTGTTGATGAACCAACTATTGCAGAAGTTGTGACTTGAATTCTTACTTTGATGGAGAGGGTTAAACATAGAGATCTTTGCATTCCCTTCCAATTCTGGACTTTTGTGAATACATGACCTACCACATCATCCTTTTGAGTGTTCTGACTTGTTAAAAAGAGTCAAGGAAAGAAAGACACTACTGATTAATTATGTATAGGTCCCATGATACTATGTATTACAGAAGAAGCAATTACTGAACTACTTTGAAACAGTCCAGTGAGCTGCAGTTTGTTCTTCTTAGAAGGAATATTTCATCTTCATCTCTAAAAGAAAAACAAAAATAAACCTTCACACAATTCCTATAAATTCTTAACCTCTTTTGTAATTAATTTTAGTTGCTGGAGAAAGCATATGTATTAGAGTGATCTACATGTAACATTGAGTTCAGTTGCAAGAACCTTACCATAGATAAGTGTCTTTCATGGTCAAGTGGTAGAGAATTGATTGGACCTAAACAGCTCTGACATTTGCTCCTACATTTCAACCATATGAGAGCCACTTTCTGCTATCTAATATACTCTTATGCCAGAAATCACACTTAGGTTTTCTCTGAGCACCTAAACTGGCTGACAGCCAGGAAATCAATACATCCTGTTGCACAGATTTCGTGTCTGCTATTAGTAGAAAAGTAACACTAAAGATGTGTTTTCTTGCAGGACAGTGCAGAATTGATCACATCCCTGATTCACAGTGGAGCTGATATACAGCAAGCTGGATACGGTGGCCTCACTGCTCTCCACATTGCTGTGATAGCTGGTCACCTAGAGGTAAGTCATGCCTTTGTTACCTGTGAAAACAAAGATTAGCTACCTCTTCAAATTATTCTCAGTTTTCAACACTGGCTTTTGAGATGATAAAAGTTGGTTTGTTTTTTAGCCAATGAGCACATTAATTTCATTTGACAGTAAAATTTAGCCATTCAAATGTGCTTTTGATAGTTCAGTACATTTTGTAATGATGTAATCAAATATCTACTAATATAAAAATGGCTGTGTATGAGAGACTTTTGAGCAATGATTAAGACCATAAGTTTTGAAATCAAGTCGCTCAGCTTCCAAAAGTCATCATATTAACTTTGGGGGAGTTATTAAATCTCAAAACACATGTTTGTTAGAATAAAGTTGTATTTTAGAAAAAAGCAATAATGGATGGGTGATGTAACTCAGTGGTAGAGCACTTGCCTAACAGGTGTGAGACCTTGGGTTCATTCCTCAAAATAGTAACAGGCCTATTGTAATGATTAAATAGTCCATGTGGAGCACTCTGCAAATTATTTTGTACAGAGTAAGAACTGAATGAAAGATCATTTAATCTTTCATCCTCTTATGCACTACTTGAATAAACATTTAGTAAACATGAGTTATGTACCAGATACTGTTCTAGGAGCTATTGTAGAGAGATAGATAGTCAAAAATCTCCATTTTTGTGAACTTTAATTATAAACAAGACAGACAAAAAAGAAAATATTATATAATGTTAATTAATGAGTACTGCTAAATAATAAAATGAAAACATCATGAGGGAGAAATAGACTCCATTTTAAGTAAGCTATGTAATGAAGGCCTCTGAAAGAAGGTGATACTGGAGCAGAGATCTGAGTGAAATGAGAGCAGCAGCCACATAAAAGAAGAAAAGCATATTTTGGGCTTAAGTAATAGCATATGCAGAGCCCGGAGGCATAAAAAACCTGGATGTGTAGAGGGACATGAGGTAGAATGATGGAGATAAAGTCAGGTGGATGGTTGCAAGTCAGACCACAAAATGTTTTAAAGGCCATGTGAAGTCTTTGGATTTTGTTTTAAATTTAATTTTCAAAGTATTAACTTTATATATGCTACTATGCAATTATTTGATTAACTTTACAAATCCTTATGAAATAGATTTTTATTCTCATTGCTATGATAGATATAAAATCAAGGCTTTTGTATAATAATTATCACTATAAATTGAAAAAAAGAGCCACATCTAAAATCCTAGTCATTTATTTCAAAATCCCATCATATTCACACTCTATCATTTGTGACAACAATGATAATAAATGAACAGTCTTACATCCTCATTATTAAATAGATATCTTTGCAAATTGTCATATGGCAAATTAAATCATGCCTTTTTGACTAAGACACAAAACACATACCAACTATGAACAAAAAGAACTGCATATAAAATCATAAATAAAACCTGTAAAATATGTGTGATCCATCTTTCTTAACAGTGTCACTTTAAAGGGCTCTTACATCCAATAAATATTAAAATATCTCATTGAGAACAAGAGAGTTTCCTTCATGTTTATATTTCTGCTCTTTACCAGATCACTTTATTTCCCAGAAAATAAGTCTTTATGGTGAGATTCATAGTATCATTGACAATATAATTAAGTTTGTATTACTTATGACGAAAGGGAAATATCCTGTCAGAATTACTAAAACACAACAGATTTCCCACAAAAAGAGAAATTATCTGAGGGCAATGATAAGTAGATAGAGTGATAAACTTGAAGAAAGCTTGATGGAAAAACTGATGAAGTAAACATTAGGCACTAGTAAAACATGGTCAACATTTCAATGCTAGGAAAATAACAGAATATACTGTTGAAAACAAAATCCTTTTTTTTTTTGGTCTAATATTGAGCAGATTACTTTGTGAACTCTAGAATTATAATGGGGTTAAAAGCAGGGTGTTGGTCTCCTCATCTTCTATTCAAATAGCTCTGTATTCTTGTTTTGTAAATTATAGTATAAATAGCAGTATTTTATCTATTCTTCCAGCCTTTGGGCAAACTTGACCAAAATAGTTTCCAACACATCTCTACTCTTATATTTCTTTTAGATCTCCAACATCTCTTATCAGCTGATGTACAACATTTAATGACTTTTATAGTCAACCACTTGACACTACACAAAACAGGCTTAGACACATTAATATTTATTTGCTTTTTACATAATGGATTAATTAAGTTACTGGTCAGATAATGAAGGGAAATGGTATCCCAAAAAGCAATCTAAAACAATTATATTCTAAATGCAGAATTTTTTAAATTATTTCTTTCAAAACTATTAGCTGTGATAAATACTTTTGATGTGTTAATTTTTCTAGTTCATACTGAGGAAAAATCATTTGGCTCCAAATAGACTGATTTTCTAGAAGATGACATTCAAGTAGAAACATTGATATATTGTTTAGTGTTCCCCCTTTCCCTGCAGTTTCAGTTAACCTTGGTCAACCATGATCTGAAAATATTAAATGGATATTCCAGAAATAAACAATTCATAAGTTTTAAATTACTTTTATTACATTACATTGTTATATTTTTTCTATTTTATTATTGTTGCTGTTAATCTCTAACAGTGCCTCATTTGTAAATTAAACTTTATTATAGGTATGTATGTTTAGGGAAAACATAATATATACAGATTTAATTACTACCTGTGGCTTCAAGCATCCCTTGTGGGTTTTGGAACTTATTCTCTTTGGATCAGGGGTACTACTGTACACAGTTGGCAATTCATGGAGAATTCTGAGCTTAAAATAAGTTTTTGTGTATATAGATGAAATTTGAAACCATAACAATAATGGAAAATTATGTATCAGGCACAATGGATGGCCCATACATAGACTGACCCTAAGAATCCACAGAGATTTGAGAAAGAATTAAATATCTATTAAATGAGACAAAGAAGGTTGGTCAGAGTAGTAACAGGAAAACTAGGTCCTTGTAGTATCATAACAATTAGAATTTCAGAAGTTTGAGGATTCTGGGAATCAAATGGTGCCTAATAGCCAAGTACTATGGGATAAAGTATACTTATAGCATCTCTTTACTAATCCAAAATTTACATGCCTATTCCACTGCTGTTTTTACTACTTTGGTTAGGAGGAATAGTAGCAATGTATCAATGGGGTGGGTGTTTCCTTTCATTAGTAGTCCCTGTCTTTTATGGTCCACCTTTCTGTGTGAAACAAAAGATGATGCTGAGTCTGACAGGCCTCTTTGTCTCCACATATCAAATTCAGATCTTCCATTAGTGTCTCAAGTGTATTTGTCCTCCCATAATTGTGAATTCTATTAAACAATTTTACAATAAAATTTGCATCGACTAGGCAGCTGTCTCTTTCAATAATTGAAGAGAACATGTGTTGTAGATTCCTAGACATGCTGACTACAATTTGAGAACTCAGAGTTAAATTTACTGTGACTAAAAAAAGAGAAAAATATTGGTTATCTCAGATCTTAATATTTTTCTTTGATTTATCCATCTATCAATACATACACATATATTGCTTCATATAAAGCCTAAGATTCATATAGTAATCTATGCATACAAGGTTAGACATGAGACAGATGCTGTATTGGACCTTGAAAATGTATATATTATATATAAAATATATACTTTATATTTTTATATACATATAAAAACTTGTTGAAACTTGGTAGTACTTCATCATTCACATACATTTGTCATTTGGTTCTCCTGTGAGATCAGTAGTATTAGACTAAAGAATTATAAAAGTTAAATGACTACTATAAGGTCATTCAGACAATAAATGAGCTGGATGAGACTCAAACTTGATCTCCTAAATTCGAGTCTACGGTTTTGTTAAAAAAATAATAATAAGAAGAATTATTCCCTAGAGACTCTTGTGTATTTATGGCTAAAATAAGGCTTATACTCATGAGAAAGACAGACAGACAGACAGACAGACAGACAGACACACACACACACACACACACACACACACACACACATACAGTGCTTCTATCCACAGGCCACACTAAGAAACACAAATACAGAAACTATTCAGAAAAAAAGTATTATGAAATCCAAAAATACATGACTATGTTACTATTAATACATATGTAATTAAAGCAACATTAATTTATTAAAAAATGTCTTTATTTGGCATTTACTAATTGGGTGCCAAAATCCATGGAGATATGTATACACACATTTCTTTCTTTCTCTGTCTCTCTGTCTCTGTCTCTCTCTCTGTCTCTCTGTCTCTCCATCTCTCTCTCTCTTACAGATACACAGACACACACACTTTATACTTAATATACATATACATATACAAATATTTATACTTAATCACATACTATATAAAAAAGTTGTCATGCTGGTGTTTAATGCAGTAGTGTCTGCAGTTATCAAGAGACAAATGAATTATCTGTAGCTGTAGACAATTGTTTGTGCAGCAAACAGAAATGCATATAGCAACAAGATGACACAATGTATATTGTGTAGAAGTTGTAGAATGTTTTATTTTTCATGGAAAGGTATAGTTTCATATACACCCTGTGCATGTGAGAGTAATATTTTCATAGTTAAATTTATTCCATCATACCTTATCCCATTTTCAGATTGTAAACATTTATCCAAGCACTGCTTCAGAAATGCTTCCCAGTTATTTTGGAATTTATTTCTGATTTCAAGGAAATGCAATTGATATTGTTCTAGTTCATTCTTAACTAAATCATCTAAATGATTCAGTTGAGAGTTTTGTTTACCAAGAAGCCTCAGACTCTCTACATTATTTCTCTTATAATGGCTTTAGTTTTCTCCCCACAGGCAAAAACAAGAGAATGCTTAGAATTATAAAATGTGGTTTCCTTCTCTCTTTCCTTTTTTATAGAGGTAAGATACTCATGAGTTTTGTAACTGAGCAGTACCAGATTTGTCTACAATCTCTCATGAATTTTATTTAGAATCCAATTGAATAGTTAATAAAAAAATAGTTAACACTTTGAAGTGATTACTTTGTACCAAATC